ACATAAGATGATGACACTGTTATTATTCTTGAAACACTCGAGGAATCAGAGTTAACACAAGGCGAAAGTTAACCAGCTTGAAGGTAAGTATAGGGGACCAAGGAGGTACGATCACCGCGAGGAGAGACGGATTAAAAATGAGAAAAGGGTCGTTAAAGTCGTGCTTCAAGTCTCACACCGAGAGACTAAGGAGATTCTAGAAGAGCGTCCATTAGTGGGCGTTTTCCTAAATAGCACCATACGTACGTCTTTGACCGTAGCTACCTTCGCTCCTTCCCATGTGTCCCAGTGGAACAGCCGGCATAGGGGAAAAGTCATCGGTTTTACGGCCACCTATACTCATGTTGACGCTGTCCGCTGGTGTTTCTGGTCTGGATGGTACCAAGCCTGTAGAGCTGGTGCCAGTCATAGAAGTCATGATTTGCTGCTGATTATGGGGATAATAAGAGCGCCTTTGCATCTTCTTGAAATCGTATGGAGTAAACTGCTCTTCCATTTGACGCATCTCTGCACTCAATGTATTGATATCCTGATTGGGATTACGTTTTCGTGCTTTGAGAGGATTGTCTTCCAGGAGAAGTTCTTCCAGTTCATGGGTTGCATCAAAGTTGGCTTTCTTTTGCTGTAAATAGGTCAGTATGTTTTAAACATTGACCAAGACGCTACTCACGTCTGGTTGGAAGATGGGAGTCAACTCTTTCGCTTCTAGCATATCCCAGTCCAATCCTCGGAACCATGGATGAGCCTTTACGTCATTCATGCCCTCACCTACCTTGATCCACCTCTCTAGCCTATTGATTTTGATGGAGATGCTAACTTGTTCCATTTTGTGCTCCTCCGAAGTGTGGGCAAAGGTGCTTTTGGCAAAGTCCGTGGTCCTCTCCTCCGACAAAGCGCGAGCTCCGTAACTGACATTCTCCTTTTACCCTCACTACCATAATGCTTATAGGTGCGCGTCGTCCAACACAAGCAGACTCGTGAGCTATATGCCCTCAAGTACATCAATAAAGCCAAGTGTGTCAAGATGAAAGCTGTGGCCAATATAATACAAGAAAGACGTCTTTTAGAGGAGGTATGTAGTCTTTCCTGGAACTATAAAATATATTTGTGGATCTTGAATGGATTGCTGATGCAATTTTACGGGATTTTCCGTCTCTTCGTTGGCCAGATTGACCATCCATTCGTTGTGAACTTGCGATACGCCTTCCAGGACGACGAAAACTGCTTCTTTGTGTTGGATCTAATGCTTGGTGGTGACCTCCGGTGTAAGTTGCAGCTCTCGTTTTTCCTCGGTCCACACGCCGTCCTACATTCTCATAGCCGCATGTGCCTGAATGCTCATCACACGCCTCTTTTCTAGTCCACTTGGAGCGATTGGGTTCTTTATCTGAAGATGCGATAAGAAGTGCAGTCGTGAAGGCTTGTCGGCGTTGAAATCGTATGGAGTAAACTGCTCTTCCATTTGACGCATCTCTGCACTCAATGTATTGATA